CTCCTTTGGACAATCTCTAGGTGCTTAACGTCTTTTTTTATGTTGTGTCACCCAAAACTGCCCCCATCACTTGAGGTGAGGCTGTCCCAGTGCAGAGCAGAGTGGGACAATCCCCTCCCTCACCCTGTCAGTGATGCTGTACCTGATGCAACCCAGGACACGGCTGGCCCTCCTGGCTGCCAGGGCACTGCTGGCTCATATTCAGCAGAAAGATACTGACAACTTCTTCAGTTACACACCGTACATTTCCACATATGGCACATTCTTTTCCCTTTATAAATCAATATCCTGAGTGTATTCAGTCAAAGTTGACTCCTACCATAAGCATTAGTGAGACCAGTATTGAGGTACTCTTAAAAGAAGGCTGAAAACGGAAAGGGTTTTCAAAGAGAATACAAAATTTAGGACTGGTATCTTAAAACACAAAGCTCTACTAGCTCAATCTACTTTGTTTATTTGACCTGTTACCATAACAGTCTAGAAGTATCTACAACTTATTTATTTTTTTTTCCACCTGATATTTGCTAGCTCTTAAAGTCTCACACAGGAAGAGTTTCCCAGGTTGAGAACCGAGAGAAAACAACAAATTCTAGAAATAAAGTACAGGTGGGTTACAGAACTTCACTGTGGATGTAGTTCTCTGGTAACTGAAGACTTGGTACTGAAGCTGGATTAAAAATAATGCAAGAAAATATGCTCATGTGTAAAAAGAACTTACAGATTTGATGCACAACTAGCATTAGATACCATGACATTGTGTCAGGTGAAGTCAGACTGGTAAGTCTCTGGAGCATTAATATTTATGATTTGAAAAGTATGGCTCTGTACAGAACTGAGTTCTCAGGACCCCATCTTTCACTGTTTTGCAGGTGGAACTTTGTATTCAGTAGAGAGACTGCACAATTTCAGCAGCTGTTTTCCCTGTTTCAAAAAATATATTGAACTAAAGTGGGATCAAGGAAAGGTAATGAGAATGACTGAGTATATGAAAAAAAAACCAACCTCTTTTGAAAGATTAGGCCTTTTTTCACTTTAGAAGGAAGATCAAGAAGGAGGATACAGTAAAATAATGGTCTAGGTACCATAGATCAGATGACTGAGTTCTCTCTCATTTAACATGAACTGAGAAACATCAAGGAGAATTAAAAGGTAACTTTCAAAACTGAAAAAATAAAAAATACCCGAACCCAACCTGTAATTACCTCTATATATAAAACTTGTAATTAGACCATGGAACTCACTGCCAAGTCACAAAGGCCAAGAATGTAACAAGATTAAAAAGAGTATTGTATTTTTAGTGATAACAAGTATATTCAAAGTTATAATTGGAGGATAAAAATAGTAGAAGGGCTATTAAGTATCAAATTTCAACTTGGAAAACAGCTTTATGTCTTGTAGAATGAGTTGATACTGTCATTAGCAAATTAATGAATAAAGAATGTAAGTAAGGAATGAAGAATATAGTCCACCTCTGCATGCTCTGGAGTCTTTATATGTATAGAGTGAGCCAAAGCGGTAGTTTGTGTACCAAGGCAATTCTTAATAAAGTCCTGTCTGTATTTGCTCCTGTGATTCTGTTTGTGTTAGTAGTGTTATATTTGCACTGCTGCAACGATGTGAAAAATTGATCTGGGTTCAATGATTGTTTAATGGGATAGTCAAAATGAGTGTTTTTCAACCTATAATCTATGTATTGACAGAAATAGTAAGACATCACAAACTGTTCAATGAATTTTCTGTTTTTCTACATGCACCAAATAAAATCAAGGAGGGAAAAAAAGAAACAATAGCAAAAATCCCCAAGGTTTACTTCTATTTGTTATTTTGTAAAATTACCAAGTTACAAAAGTAGGTGAATACATAAGCATTCCATTAAAATTAAAGAAACATCAGAACAGATGATCTCGAGATTTTGTATTAAAATTTAGAGGGATATTTATTGTATCACTGTTGCATCATAGCTTTATGGGATGAAGCAAAAAAAAACCAGTCTTTATGACTGTGTTTCATAGAAATGTTAGAGTACAGATGAAACTGGATTGTGTTCTACCTTCCCTTTGAAGTGTGAAGATATGAAAGCCTTATGTGAGTTGTGACCTCCATAGTTATAAGATTTATATCATCCCATTGTATCTGTGCCCTGATCCAAAATGCTGTATTACCAGTAAAATAATTCATCAATCTGTTAATAATAAATTCATTTTAACAGACAGTGTCAATATGAATGGGTCTTTCTATATTTGAGAATAGATAGAAAAGTTTAAGTGTTTTTCAATAATTATAATGATAATAAGTAATAAAATTGCTGAAGACTTGCAAAAAGAGACAATATACAGAGCTGTCAGCTCTCCACTTGATCTTTTTTAAATCTTGACACTACATTTAAACTCAAACATAATACCAACATTGTAAGTCAAAATATTATGTTCATGTGGTCTTATGCTACTAATTTCTACTCAATATATAGATTCATTTCTAATTTTAAAAGCAAGAGGAGTAATTTAAAGGAGACTGAAAGGACAGTTGGTGGGCAAGTTAAATGAAGAACTGTTATAATAATATGGTAGCTGTAATATGAACATAATGAAATAAGTTCATGCAATAGGTGGATGCACTTTGTCACAACAGTTTGTCAACCAGTTTTATGGCTACATAAGTTACTAATTAAGGCTTGATGAGCTAAAATTCAGCAGTATAAAGCATTCAGACCTTTCCTACTAACTTAGCATCACTACCTTTATGCTTCCACTTCCACTTCCTCTACTTCAGCTTCTCAACCAGTCTGTAATGAGAAAAATACTATGGAGTTACTGTAATTACAGAAATAAGATCTGTCCTTTGAACCATATACAGGAGAGAACCACCAGATTAGTTTGTATGGGTGTGCCCCACCTCTATGATTGACAATCTACTGGTGTTCCTGGTCTTTGCTAATCTAAAAGGATGTAATTATTAACCAGCAAAAACGCCACTCCTTCACATGCATCCCACGTGTAGTCCTCTGCAGAACTGCCACCAGTCACTGCTACTGTTGTTAGGACCAGACACAGAACAGCATCATTTAGCAAGCTGAGGATCCTCAACACTGATCTAGTGTGTGTAATAGAAAACAGAAGTTCACATGGAGGAGAAGGCTATATATTGAGTAAATTTCTATGTAAGTATAATTACTCTTGCCAGAATAGGCTGCCTTTTCTGTTTTTTTGAAGTTAGATTAAGTCTATGAGAAGAATAGTTCCATTTAAAATATATATAAAAAGTTGGTACCTGATTTGTTAATGTACTATTAAAATAATAGTAATAAGAAAAGGGAAGGAATGAGTATCCTGAAAGGATCTTTGATCAAGGCCCAGCTGAATGCACTTCAATATTTGTATTATAATCTAAAACATAGTGACTGTCCTTGCTCAGTGTTTTATTCATAGATAACTAAAGTATGTACCATAAACCACATGACTGTATGATCAAAGGACACCTTACTGTGTGTGTCTTATCTGTAGTAGTATACTAACTTTATGATCATAATATTTCATTTTCTGTCGTGTTTCTATGGACTTCATAAAGAATATCACAGTCTATGTTAATCAGTATCTTATAATTTTTAAAATTGTTTTCCAAATGTGAAAATCTAGCAACAAATATGCTACCATGCTATTATTACACTTTCTGAAAGGATGATTTCACTCGTATTTCAATCTGATAAGTCTCTTAGGCCGATCTAAAATGAAGAGCATGTATTATTTGAATTTTTCGACAGTCACTTTTGGCTAATTTTCAGTGCTGCCGTGGGCATTCATCAGTAGAGTATATGTAAAAAGGCACCTAATAAAGTTTGGCAGCAGGCAACAACAAACATCCATTTGTGAATGAAACTTAGTTTTGTGATGAAAGTACTAAAATATCCCAGTGGTTAAGGCATTATAAAAGAAGGAAAGATCTATTTTCTAGACTCTTGGCGCTACGAAGCAGCACAGCTGTAGCTTCTGAGCAAGGTCTTCTACCAGGCTAATGGTAATGGTACTCTGAGTGCAGCAGCCTCTGAAACAAAGGCTGTGTAGTTTCGAGCACAAGATTCCATGGACACCATTGTGGAGTCGACTAATAACTTTTATTTATCTTTGGTATATTCAACAATAAAGTAATTCTTGAGGGAAGGTTGATTATTCTTGAGCCTTGAGATTTAAATTTCAAATGAAATCACAGTTTAGGCATTCTACGTTCTTCCTGATTAAGGTAATCCTGTGTGATGGAGGAATACTGGACTCTAAATCCTGGTGCAGGTCATTTCTGCATTTGTTGTATAAAAGGACACTTATACTAAGATGTAAAATGTATATGTCATACATTGAAAAGGTGAAAAGGAACAAAGTTATTTACATTTAAGACATACAGGAAAAAAAGAGCATTGAAGGAGCTGGTAGCAGTGTTAAACATGCCGCTGAGAGCGTCCTTTATTAGCACTGAAGTAGAAACTATGGATTATTACTAGGTTAATGGAGTTGGAAATTGTAAAAGATTGCAAAAAAGATTGATGGCTTGGCTGCAAGAAAGTGAGTGGAAAAGCCAAAGGTATATCCAGCACTTCTTAGGCTAGGGAATGGTGACTAGGCCTTTTTTTCTGGATGACACTCAAGGAAACTGATGACTAGCACCACTCTCTCTATTCCACAAATAGCAGGAGCATCTAACTGCTGAAGTATTCTGTTTCTGAAGAATTTGATTGCAATAGTAAGTCAGACAATATTTAGAAGTCCAGGATTTGTATTTAAAATACGTGTGAGAAAGCCTGTGCAGACAGTTCTAATTAGGATCAGAGACAAAGGTATCTAGCGCTTTCTGTTAAGATCTGTGGCTTCTGTTACTATGTAGAGTTTGGGTTACTGCCTCACATGAAGAACCTCCGTGTCTTTCACTCCTTATTCTTGCTTCACTCAGAAGTCCTGATACTTTTAGTTAGGTTGGCTAGCAATGAACTACATAATTTTGAGTCGATTTTTCAGGATAAATGCAGTCATCTTGCTGTAACACTTCAGTGAGATGTCAGTCATGCTTCCAGAGAGGCAACCAACAGGAATGCACACATATGTATACTGCCCTCACACAAATTTATACCATATAAAAATGAACTGAAAGAAGTGGCCCAGTGAAGTGGTTGAGTCACTATCGTTGGAGGTTTTTAAAAGGTATGTAGATATGGCATTTAGGGATATTGTTTAATGGTGAACTTGGCAGTGCTTGCAGTTTACAACTGAACTCAATGATCTGAAGGGTCTTTCACAGCCTAAATGATTCTTAGGAGCAGAAGTGGTATTTGGTAAGATTAAATAATACACATTAGTAACTCCTCATTTAACTGATGTCCTGTTGCAGCTGTACCATTAATTTCCCTTGCATCGTAACAATTCTACTTTGAAGTATTGGCAGAAAAAAATTCTGAAAGGCAAAACAAAAGGCAATCTGGAGTCTTCAAAATGTATTGAAATTCTCAAGGATCTATGATTTCTGGGAGAAAGTAACTCAGGCCTGTTTATCTTCTTGTGATAATTTTTACTTGATTCTCTTCAATGTCATCCTTAGGTAATATTGGAAAAGAAAATATAGATCACTTCTATTTTATGGAACAAAAGCACACTTAGCTCTGTTCCAGATACAAAACAGAAACATACTGAACACCTCTGCCTTTTCCAATATCATTAGCAATTTTGTCATCTTCCTTTTCTGTAATGATGTAATTTATATTCATGCTACTCTGTAACAATATTCACAGGAACTAGGATTTCTTTTACTCACAAATTTTATTAAAAATCAATTATTTTTCTTATTCTTATTGAATGCAGAATTTTTCTGCCTATATTTTTAATTTCCCCTGTTACCTGGTTTTCTTCACATAATGTTTTACATTTTTTGATTCCATATTTAATTACTGTTCTTTGCCATCTGTCTGCAGGGAAATGTGGTTTATCTGTATTAGTGATGCCTAAAAGGAAAATGTGGGAAACTTAATAATAATTTCCTACATTTTGAAAATGTGTGAAGTACATGGGTTGAAGGTAGTGTCTCTAAAGTTTAAATCTAAACCTTCATAATTACAAATCTGTCCTGTAGTCAAAAAGAAGATAATGAATCAATGCTGAGTTGCTTGCTACACAATTATTTTCCACACCATTTCCTAGAAGATGAACTTTCCAGTGAATTTTGTGCCTTGCCCCTAGGAAAGCCACCGCCACTCTTGGGACAAAGGTGGCTGATGCACTTGTTGGTCTGATTATTAACATAAATCATCTTAAGACTGAATCCTTTTAGCTGAGAACATCCCTAAGAATAATAAGTCTTGTGTTATAAAAAAAAAAAATATAATCTAGTTATGGTTTATTTAAATTATGTGCAAGTAAAAAGCAGCAAATTATAGTGGTACCACTTCTGCCTGACCACCTCTAATTCCTAAGAGAAGCTGTTATGTCCACTGACATTTATTGGTGTATTATTATTGATACTTTTGTGTTCTCACCTCACAAAGATTTTGGGCTCAGTTCTAATTTCTCAAATAATGTTTTTTCTCCACTGACTTAAAAAGGATTTCCATTGCTGTCAGAGAGATTTAAATAAGACAATTGTAGGTACATCTACGCAGTTGTGGTTTTGCTGTCCCATTGTTTTTTTTATAATTCCTATTTCATACTTAAGTTTGCTGGAAGAAAGGGGCTTGTTTTTCACCTGTTTTTTCACCTCAGGTCAAAGAGATAATAGAATAGAAATTTATCAGTCTTGAGGGTCATATATCTGAAAAACAGATTTAAATGAGTACAGTCAAATATATTGTACTTAGTTTCATTTTTTGTGTCACATGTCAAATTATATTTTATTCCTCGCTTTTGGTGGGTTTTTTTGTGGGTTTGTTTTTGTTCTTGTAGGTATGTGGTTATCCATACTGCTGAACTTTGCCCTTTGTCAGGAAATGACAACCAGTGTAAGGATTGAAGAACAAATTCAATTCATTGTTTGGTCTGGTTTCAGAGTTATATTGCAGATAACATTGTTATAATGCACCTTGCATCTGCTGTGTAACATAAAAATTGAATGATGAGCTTTAAGAGCATAATAAGGAATCACAGAATTCATTGAATTGAATGGAAAAGCTTTTGTTTTAGACTAGTTGTCACTGTAATGAGTTTTTTCTTAATGACATAATCATGTTAGTAACAATGAATGTCATACCAACTCCAGGAGCAAACCAGCTTTCATAATGTATGCAGGAACAGAAATGTCTGATACACTTGTGTATTAAAGCGTACCCCTAAATGTTCAGAAAAAGGAAAAATATTGCTTACTGCTTCCTTCCTACAGAAACAAGATGGCAAAAATCTGGTATTCAAAATTCAGTATGTATGTCTTCAATATGTCTTCATACTGTCAACAAGATGAGAGTTATATTGTGATGGACCAAGAGTCTACTACAAACTATACATACTACTTCAGTAAATTGCAAACATAAACTTATTAAATTGACTTTAATTCTACAGGTTCTTGGTGTGCCTACTCTTATACCAGTGGTGAAGAGCTGCACCCACAGCTTCATCAGCAACTATGGTTCCTCTCCTCTAACCTCTGTATCTCAAGATATCTGAATGTGGAACTGTTCAGTAGTGCTTCCTCCTTGGTTTCATGATGACATCTATTCTTTCCAAAGATGTGATAATCCATTGTCAAGAACATAAAAGGCTCTCCTATAATATTTTGTGTGCAAGGTATTGATGCTATCCACTAAAGTTTTTTGGCCTTACTGTAAGAATAATTGGCTCTGGCAAAGTGGCTATCTTACTTTTTTTCTTCTGTATGAAAGGAGAGGGCCGAGAGAGAAATAGTACATTGCAACCTTCCAGGATAGTCCTGCTGCAGGTCCCTGGGAGTGTGACTTGACCCAATGGTACTATGTTATAAAAAAGAGGGTTGTCTGTCTTTCAGACGTTATGAATTTTTTTTAAAAAAAATAAGGAATGGATAAAGACCAAAGAGCATTGATATGGTGGGAAGGCACAATAGTGCACAAACTTCTAGATGTTGGCTGGATTAAGCTCTTCAAGGGCATCCTAAGATGTCCAGGTTTTGTGTGGAATTGCTTTGAAGTTCTTGTGCTCTGAGAAACCAAGAGAGGAGACTCTTGAATGTAGATGCTGAGGCACTCAGAAAGGTTGGGATTTGATAGAATTGCTATACAGTTATGTAAAACATACATTTATTTAAAATATGTGAATAGGATTATTTTCATCCATCTTTCTCTTAATGTTTCATCTTCACAAGTAACACCTTTGCTGGAACTGTAGATCTCTCCTTGAACATGGGCTATCAGTTTTCCTGTAAAAATACCTATTTTTCTGATGGGCCTTAGTACACCTGACTGGACTGTGTTATTTTGGAAGGAGGTGCTCTTTTTCCTTTCCTACTTGCTTTTACCCACACACATTGATGTTAGCATGCAGTAGAATCATGGCTGATGTATCTCTTTGTCATTATAGAACAAGACTAGTAAAGAAATAACCAGAACCAGTGCACTTAGACATACCTTGTCTAAGTCAGTCATCAAAGATGATCAGGAGCAGCAAGACAAAGATGACACTGCAAGAGCTGGCAATTAGATTCACTTAGGCTGCAACAGAGCCACGTTTTTGAGTGTTGTTTAGAGGCAGCAAGAGATTATTTAAGCCAAAGGTTCCATGGTCCAGTCCTCCATTGTTGGGTATATATTTTTACTTTCACCTTTGTGCTGGCGCTTATGCTCGTCTAAAAGGTGCCCCACACGAGATTGTCTCAAGGCTTCAAATACTAATTGCACCACAAAATATTCCTTCTGGACTGTCAAATGTGGAGGAAGTTGAAGGAATATGGATGAATTTCCTGTGGGATCAGAAAGGTAGCGTACCACATCCTTCATTATGGAACCCCTTTAGTTCTCTTCTTCTGTGTGAGAATAATATAAACACCCTGTTCAGATCCCATAAATTAGTAGGAGGAAATCTGCTTGTCCAAATGTAAAATTCCAAAACTGCAACATTCAGTTTCCAGATTCTGTAATTGTGCAGAAGCCCAAGTTCTCTACTATGTAGATAGAATCCAATAAGCAGAAAATGTCAGAAAGAATCATTGAACATAAAATCCAATCTCCTCTTTTGCCTGTCGCCTCACTGGAGGAGCTGGGAAAGACTGTATCTGGTAAACCACAATCAGTATTGTGGTAGCTATGACTAGCAGCCTTGGAGCAGGAATGTTTGACTTAATATGAGCTTAGGCAGGGAAGGAAATATCTTTTTTTTTTTTCTCCAATACCTGCATCAGTGAACAAAACTTGTACTAACTGACAATACCTTAAGTAAAAATCTGAGTTGAACTGGTTTGTCTGTGATATTTTGATTGCTTGTATGCTCTATTCTGCTTTATCTTATCCTGGACTTCAGCTGGAAATTTCCATGTGCTCTTTCTACTTTCTTCTGACAATATCAGATAAGTTATTTCAAATAATTTATTTAACAATGTGAAGGCTAATATTGTTTGAAGAAAGCTAGGAAGGATTTTGCCCACTTTAGAGCTGAAGAACTGGTAAAGGAGTGGTGTCATGGGAAAGCCTTGATGCTGTTCTGCTAAAGACACCCACCTTTCATAAAGCAAATTAATTTTCTCTTTACCAGCAGCAGACTGACTGTCCATTGCTACATCATGCCATTTTGAAAAACTGTAGGTGTAGCAATCTGCAGTGGCAGTGTGAGGATGGAAAACTGGGGACCATTTACCACTTGCTGCCAAGAGGTGTATCTGTCCTCTCTCCTGTCTCTCTGATGCTGTGGATTGATAGCACCAGCCATGCCTGCCTACACCAGTTGAAGAACTTACTGCTTTTCTTCTGAATACAGACTGTAGATGTGTGAGTATTCCCTAACATACTTCAGGCAAAAGTGTTAGCAAAACCTGCTATTTAAATCCTTTAAGGCAGCTTACTTATCTTGACCCAAGTGGGTTAGGAACTCCTTTTAGGTGTGTATCTGCTAGTGGCAGCCTGTAGCTCTGCACAGCTATATTACAGAGTTCAGAGTGTTATATCTTCTGTGGCTAGACTGCATCCTGTACCTGAAGTAGACTTATTTAGACCAACTTTTAATCTTTTAATTAATTTGTAGATAAATTTTCTCTCCTTCTTTCAAGGTAGTTGTGCTTCATTTAACAGCATGCTGTGAGTCATATTTCATTCTTTGTCTCCCTAGGCTTCTTCAGCCCCTTTGGAGATAGAAGACATGATCATGTCTCTGAATCACAGACTACTGGAGGCTGTGAGAACGCACAGAACTTATATATTCTATGCTTGCCTTGTTTGTATGCTCTCCCCATGGCACCTGCTAATCATCACTGTTGGGAATTGAACACTAAAATTCTAAAGAGGATAAAGAGGTCGTGGGTTTTACCTGTTATGGCTGTTCTTACTGTTTATTTCTATATGGCTCCAGGAAGACAGCAGCTACTCTGCAGCTTGTCATTCAGTAGGGACATACTTTTCACTTTTCTGGCCATGTGCAGTCAAGAAGAGGGAGAAGCTAAAGAAATATGTAAAAGTGTGAAGAAAAGTATTTGGCCTTTCCACATAAACATACAAGAGAGAAAGACAATGAAAGCAGGGAATACAATGAAAAGGTAGGATAGATGGCTTTTCACTGATAGAGAAAGAGCAAAAGAGCAAAGAATCTATTAGTAAGGCAAGGCACAAATGGAGGAAGACACTATATCAAAGGGAAGAAGCCAGTACTGTAGCAAACTATAGTAAAAACAATAAAAAATGTTTACATAGGATTTTAAGAACAAATAGAGATGGCAAAATCCGAAATTTATTTTTTAAATTTTAAAATTTTTAGAAAATAAAAGCAGTAAAGAAATGCATTTTGTGAATATTTTAAGTTCTCATTAACAGGGCAGTGTTTTCAATGATGCATTAATTCACCTGTTCAAAATGCTTCAGTCATCAAGTCATGGAATTGCAGTGTTGGTGTGTATGTGTGTGTGCATGTGTGCCTTTGTGGTTTGGGTGAAACTGGTATTTTTTCATTTGAATCAGACAAAGGTGGGGCCAGGGTGTTTTCTTTCAGGCACTTATTTATCATAGCTTACAGTTTGCTTTGTTGTTCAAACAGTATGTGACTCCACCCGCTCCCATTATTACCCAGCAAGGATACAAGTCTGCTTTAGGGTTTCTATGTTCGCACTATTGAATTCTGGGGTCAAGTTGCTTTCTAATAGGAGCAACACTTTGAAGGGTAAATTGTAAGTGTTGTATCTGGACTGCAAAAATCTCTCTCTTTGGAAGCAAATGACGTTGAGAGAAAATTCTTACACTATTCTTTTTTTAATTGGAAATAAATCATCCCTTTCACTCCATTCCACACTGCGGGGTGTTGTTGGCCCATGTGCATCCAGGGCTGTATCTGCTGTGTTTAAGAATGTGCAGGTTTGATCTCCTGAAAGCATTTCAAAGGAATATGCTGACAGTGCATGTACACTTTCATCTACCCCACAGACAGGCTACCAGAAGTGGTTGCTCATGCTGGAAGGAAATAGTGCTTTATGCTATTAGGGTGTCACAAATCACACCTCATGTTTCCAATGCAAATGTAGAGCTCCAGGAAGCAATCTTGTTCCTCCTATCCCAGTACTCCCTGCAGGGTGATGCAACTCTATTATCTTTAGTGCAGAATAGTAGCTGCAGACAAAGTTAAATTCATGAAAATTACGGGTGAAAAGGAAAATCAACCCTATTAACTACTTTTGTGTGTGAAACTGGGTCATGAGTCCATATAAATTTGTTGTGCTTGGACCTCTTACAGCATTTCTAGATTCCCTCAAGTCCCAAAATACCAGGGAAGAGAGAGAGTGGGGTGGATGAAAATAAGGTGAATTGTCAGTCTCCTTGGGAAAGCTGCCAGTATGTTTCCTGCTACTGAAATACTTCTCACCTTTTTGGAGAGCAAAGTTCCATGTTTCAGTGGTGCTGCTGAAAATTAATTTATTGCAGGATTTTGCTGTGTCCCAGTGTAACACACCGAAAATGTCACCTGTCTCCTCAGTCATAAACTTTTCCGTGTCTACCCAGTAAAGTCACCTGCTCTTTTTGCTAGATGTAGGTTCACTGTCAGAACAAAGATTCCTTTAAGTCAGTGTGTGTAGTACCCTAACACAGAGCACATATCCAAAAGCAGAAGGAACAACTATGCAAGGGAGTGGATTCATCAGAGGTCAGGCAGGAGCATTTCTTGTAGATGACTAATGGTAAGGGATGGGCAAACCTTGTGTTGTTTTGAGGTTTTGTGAACCTTGTGAACTGTACTTTTGGTTTCACACGGTTTGTGAACTGTCCCCCCTCCTACCTTGTCCTTCTCCCCTTGGTATTTTCAGAATGGGGATTTTGTTGATTTGTTATAGTTTTTTTTTTACTGTAAACAAGGGGTCCCTTTCTGTATGTATTAATGCTTGAAGAATCTTTCCACCTCAGCCCATTCTCAGCAAACTACTAAATGCAGGAAGTTTCTGTCCTTATCATCTCTTCTTTTTCTCATTTTGATGATATTTTCTTCTCAGAGCACAATACGGCAAAGGGACCTTCTGTGTCACTATCAATAGAAACTGCAGCTTATTATTTTTCTAAGTCTACCTAGCTCCAGTTTTAAACAAGTTTTGTTTTGTTTTTGTTCTTTTTTTTTTAGTCTTCTTTTAATCTGATTTATCTGATTTTGTATAGTTCTATAGCAGATTTTTAAAAAATTATGTTTGTGTTTGTCTCTGCTCCCCTTTTCAGTCACTCAAATGATCTTTAAAGTCACAAATCAGAATCATAACCCTCCTGGTTTCATTAAGGTCTTGTATCAATGAGATCCTTCAACTTCACAAAATTTAAGAGATTTTAGAATAGAAAATAGAAAATGGTTTTTAAATAATTGTTATCTGGAGGAGTGAAAGTGCTCAAACAAAGTCTTAAAGAGCTAATTTTATAATACTACCTCCTCATTTTAATCTCTGCTATACCATGCCTTGTGCTGCATGTTTAAAGCAGGTTGATTTATTGTGTAAACTGTGCAGCTTTGCACTGGTGAATTATAAGGAGAAAAATTTTCTCAGACTTTACATTAGGATGGCCTGCAAGATGACGTGAAAGAAACAGTTGGCAATTTGGGAAGTTTGTCTAGTGAGTTCTGTTTTAAATATCTTTATCTTATAAATTAAATAGATTGGTTTTTTCCTATTTTTGGCATAGTATTCCAGTAGATTTGGTAGATTATTGCTGTGTTGTAAATTTTGCCATTAGTGAATGCCAATTATGTTAATGAATTCTAGCTGGCCAATCAAGGAAGAGTCAAAGCTATTTTCTGTTTGTAAAATATACTAATTGAGATCACTATACACTGTTTAATTGTGTTGGTAAATACTCTAATGTTTCATTTCTAAACAGTTCATGTTTTAATGGAGAAGGAGGAATGGGAAATTTAGTAATTTGCCAAAAATTAAGACATATTTTCTAATTACACGGATTATTCATTAGCACCAATGCTTACAAAAATCCCTTAAGGCACAAATACATATATAATTTTTAAAAAAGGAAGTAATGCTTTATCTAAAATAGAACTTAAAACAGAAATCAAAGCCAACTTTGATGGAAGCTTTGTGCGTTTTAAGCTGACTCTAGGGTATACAACAAATAGATGTGGAGTGTTGCAAAACTCAAACGTTGAAGCAACAGAGCGCAGTCTGAATAGTGCCGAGATACAGGAGAAGAATTGTCCAAAAGACCTTGGGGCAATTCTAATGAGCTAAATATGCAAACTATGCTGTGTGTGCAACATTTCTGTAATGTTTACTACACTGCCATAAAAGAATTTCTCTATGAAGAAAATTACTTTTGCAAGAATTATAGATTTATAATGGAAACAGGCAGGCATCTGTCACTATGCAACTGGTGAAAAATTGAAGGCTTTTAGTTTAATTCAGTTCTTCATGCTGGAATATCCTCTTCATTTGAATTACTGTACCAGAATTAATATTAGGGCCACCGACAGAGAAGTGATTTACTACAAGAAAAAGGATAGATTGGCAGATTTATATTCCCTAAGCACTTTCCCACAACAACTCTTCTGATGACAAGCCAACCTAGCAAGTTTTGGCTTGCAGTTTCGGTGGTTTGCAAACTGTTTCATTTTGAAAGTATGGGAGTTACTCAACACCAGGGGCCAAATGATGATCTGAATTTTGCTGGAGTTACATTCATGCTTCTGTGGTTGCTATTTTAGAACAATTCCTAATGTACACTGTTCAGATCATGATCCAGTCCAGTTTCCTACACTATGTAGAAGGTGGTGGAAGAAAGAAAATGAGATTCACCTCATCTGTGGTAGATCCTGTAATGTGTCTATCTTTTTTGCATTAAGTCTAGAGAAAGCCTAGGGCACATATTTTATACACCTACTGAATTGCCCTGCTAAGATGTGTATCTCTGCTCTGACTGTAGGAGCAGTTTGGTTACCCAACTACCTCAGACTAAGACCTCAACCTTTATACAGCTAGAATAAGGCAAAGGGAAACAGACTGGAAAGGGAGATTCTTCATCAATGATTTTGAAAGAAAATGTTCCTTTACATTAGCAATACTTTTTCTTGTAAAGGTGTTCATAATTTTTTTATAGGGCACATAAATGTTGTAAGTTTGCTAAACCTCAGAAGTCACTGTAATGTCACCCTGAAAGATGAAATTTTAAAGACTGGGTTTTTTTTGAAAAGAAAGTGGAAGAACATGAAATCTAGTGGAAATTCTGCCCTCTCCTTTTTGCTCATTCTTCCCAAGAGCAGAAATTGAGTTTCCTCATGGAAGCTGCTTAACTGCTTTTAGGGGTACCAGAAAATGAGAACTTGTTTGTGGTGTTTTGTCTGGGGTATGTTTTGTATGTTGTGGGTTGTTGGTTTTGTTTCTGGTTTTTTTTTCATATGATTGCAACTGGTTGACTTTGTTTTCCTGGAAATGCGAGCTCTGATTGAAAATATTTATGTAGCATTTGTGCTGCTCTCAGTGTCTGTCTGTCATGGAATGACTTCATGCTACACTCATTCTTTCAGTAAGGCTCAAACAAAGCCTATTGGGTAAGTGAAGAAATAAAGAGCTACTGCAAGAAAAACTCCAAGATCATTTCAAATGTAGGCAAGCCAAAGAAGATCTAAGGGAGGCTGGAATGTTTCTTGTATCAAAGAGCTAATTACTGGTGGGTGGAAAAGGGATAAGGATGGTCATGGCCAAAGGTAAAAGTCATAAATCAGTTTAGACTTTGAGTTTGAAAGACTTTAAAAAAAAAAAAAATGGTGCTCTGAGACAGTCTTCTGCGTGGCAAAATAAACCAACTACTATTAAGATAAGCTCGGTCACTTGAAGAAGAAGTTTGTATAATATAATGTTATATAACAAAAACCTGCATGTGGTGATCCAAATATTGTCTTTTGATAATACATTTTGAAGCCTGTAGAACACGGAGCACTCCTGTATTCTTGGCTTCCAGTCAAAGCTATTACTAAGTATCAATATATAGCTTAGGATACTTTCCTTTGTGATGAAAAAAGCACCTGAAAATACTGAAAAATTATCATAATCTCTTTGGAATTCTGTGAGTGAGAAAATGTTCTACAGTTTGATGGAGAAAATAGAAAATTGATATTAAATTCTTATCTAGAGTAGGAAAATTTCTTACCTGTTTTTGGCAGTTGTTCAACTGCAGAAGTAATATTTGTTGCACAGATAAGTGCACATAAAACTGGAAAACCCCCACTATTATACCCTCTAACTCAGATAATATTCCTACTTATGTCTTGGGTTTTAAAACTGATTTTT